GTATCGTGAACTCTCTGGATGCAACACGTGGTCTCTTGATGGATAGAGGTGCGGGCACTCTAGCTCTGGACTCTGGCCCTCCCCCCTTGCATCTCTTTCTCTCTCTAGGGGTGCAGGAGGTTTGGCGCTTTATCTGACTGTCTTGCCTTTGCCGTTATGCCACTTTAAGAGTCGGCTGCAGTCTGACTAATGCGCACAGTGCTACGGCCTGTACTATTGTTCCGCTGAGGTGTCTCCGCGTGGCGGTATATGTTGGCGCTCTGTTTCTCTAGTGTACTCTTTACTGTGCAAGTTGAGGAGCGCTGTTGCTTGACCTCTGAGGGTAATAGTTCCACTGTGGCAGGCGCAGCACCCTTTGGTGCCTAGTGCGCTGTGGCATTAGAAAAATTATGCAATTGCTGTTTCTTTGTTTGATTAGACTGACTTTACTCTGTAATTCCTCCAATGCCGCTCTATGGATGCAGTAGGTTTAAAGAGCACAATACTTTAGTTAACTTCTTTAATAACTTCAATCTTTCGTCATATAACACTGCTTACAATGGTTATTTCTTTCATATTACAATGGTTTAATTCGTATTACATTGGGTTGATTCGATAGCTTATCTCATAGGTTTCAATAGATTTGATATAAATTCGTTATCAGTGACTGTATTATTTTCGATAGATTGATAAATTCACTTGGATTTATAAATTCGTTACACGATTACTTTACAGTGACTTGTTTCGCAAACAGTTCGGTGGATCTACTATTTGGCCTTCTCTACTTCCATGGAGCTTCTCTGATTGGAACTTGTCTGTTTCCTCTTCTGTCTGGTGAGCATGTGTCTCTAGAAAATCCTAGCAGGGAGTTTTACACAGGCACAAATGTGATGAAACTGGCTGGGATTGGTTAAGGCTCTGTACAGTGTGAGGCTGTCTGTGTGATTGGCTCCGAGTGCTTATACTAACTCTTAAAAGGCATATTTTTCCTTTTCTGCTTCTGCTAACACAACCTAATATAAAAATGTCATATAACAATCAAAAAGACATAAATTTACAGCAATGATTCTGCTTTTGGCTTTAACATATGCACATATACACTGTACTAAGGTTATTGGCAGGTTTGGTATACACGTATATGTGAACCATATTAACAACCTAGGACTGGTCTTAGCTGGCCAGCGACACATGGGGCCCCTACTGACCCAGGCCCTCCAGCAGTGCCCAAGTTTTCAAATGGTCAGTCCGCCCCTGATTGTGATGCTTTTTCTCATGCTGGGGGCCATGCAATAAATGCAACATGTCCGACTATTTTTTCAACAACTCAGTACATTGGTGTGAATGGAAGCAATACTAGGACATAAGGCAAACCACATTGTACGCTATATGAAGAAGGGATCTAAGTTATCATGAAAGCTTGCATCTTTAGTAACCTAGGTTAAAGTAAAACTAAAGGCAAACGTTTTTGTTTAATTTTGGATAGAGTAAGGGAGGGTTATAAGACTCTTTTTTTGCCATCTGTGTTACCATTGGGGAGATGTCCCTTCACTTTCTGTCCTATAGCCAAAAACAGGAAGTGAGAGAAAATCCTTCTAAAGTAAGGGAATTGCGGGGTGTCACCAGGGTCACTAGAACTAATATCCTTTGTAGGAAGATTTCCCCTCTAATTACTTTTCAGGTTTCAACCAAAATGTGGGATTTTTTCTTTCAACTTTCTATGATAACCATAAACAGGACAAGTAGAGAGGATGAATCTCCCTAATGATGAAAACTAATCCATCTTCACTCCATCCAAAACTAAAAAAAGTTCTCTCTTTAGTTATACTATAGGGCTTTTTAAATTAGCTATTGGTGGGGAATAATTTAAAAAGGTTATATATAGTCTCCAGCAAAAAGCTAAGCTGGCCATACACTTGGTCGATTTCCAAACAAATGTTTGTATTAAGATTATTAATAAATTCATTTACTTTACAAATGTCATTCAAAAGTACATGTACTTAAAATTCTGTTTGTTTTTTTAACTGTTATAGAAATAATGTCATTTCCTAACAAAAAAACACATTCACTGTTAGAAATTATTAAACTATGAGGAAAACATTTCAAATCCTATTCCTTCCCCTCACTGCTTTCGAAAACAAAATTATAACCCACAAACGATTTAGAAAATTGAACACATTTTTTAAAACCGTAATCTGTTGAATGAAATTCTAGTGTATAGTCAGTTTCAGGAATTACCGTAAACAGCTTTACTGATTACTCATAGAACACTCTTGATTACGCGTACTATTCTACTGTATATTATTTTATATGAGTATATGAAAAAAAAACCGCCTAATATTTTAACTAGCTTTACTGAGGATGAAAATATAAGCCTTTTTTAAAATGATTCCTAATAAACGAATAATAAGGGTCCTTTCACATGGGGTTCCATTTTTTTTCATCAGTTCAGTCACGTTTTTTCAAAGAAAAAAAACAGGATGAGTTTACAGCTCGTATTTTCATCCCTTTACATCTATTTTTTCATTGTTTTTTCATCCTTTTTCATCCATTTACATCGTTTTTTTTCATCCATTTACATCCGTTTTTCATCCTTCTCTATCCATTTACATCCGTTTTTCATTCCTTTTCATTCATTTACATCGTTTTCATCAGTTTACATTGGTTTACATTGCTTTTTTAATTCGTTTAGATCCATTTTTCATCCTGTTCTACATCCATTTTTGGTCCGTTTACATTCTTTTTTGTCTGTTCCGGGTTTTTTTTTGAGCGAAAGAAAAATAGGGTTTTCTTCAGTTCAAAAAACTCGGGGAGTTATTAACGGATGCGAACATTAAAAAGATGTTCATCCGCAAGTCATAGAAATACATGGGGGTCATTTTTTCATCCGTAACGGGACAGATGAAAAAATGCGGACACATGGAACCGTCTGTGTGAAAGAGGCCTAAGACTTAACAGGTCTACATGTTTGACAAACAGCATCATGAAAGCATTCTATAATTTGTTTTTTGTTAATCAATTGGGACATTTAGGTGTATTGTGTAAACCATAAACAAATGCATTTGAATGCTTAGGACATGTGTCACACACCCTGCTTTACTTCCCCACAGCTTTTCACTCACAATTGTTGGTGAAATACAGCTGTCATTTTAACAGCTTGGACCTGCTCTGTGTGAAAGGACCAGCTATAGCTTCGTCTGTGTAAACTGACAATCGCAGAACAGTGGCTGTGTAATATTATTGTAATCATTCTGATGTTATTAACTGCAGATTTAAGCAATGGCATTTGATCTGCATATACTCTCAGTAAAGCAACCCTGAAAGTAGAAACTACCATATTTTTCGGCTCACATAAGATGCACACCTGACCATAAGACGCACCTCGATTTTAGAGGAGGAAAACAAGAAAAAAAACATATTTGAACCAATGGACTGCGGACATAGTACAGGAGATGACCAGAGACTGCGGACATGGTACAGGAGATGACAGAGAGACTGCAGGACACAGTACAGGAGATGACAGAGACTGCGGACATAGTACAGGAGATGACCAGAGGGACTGCAGACACAGTACAGGAGATGACCAGAGACTGCGGACACAGTACAGGAGATGACCAGAGACTGCGGACACAGTACAGGGATGACCAGAGACTGCGGACACAGTACAGGAGATGACCAGAGACTGCTGACACAGTACAGGAGATGACCAGAGACTGCTGAAACAGTACAGGAGATTGACCAGAGACTGCTGACACAGTACAGGAGATGACCAGAGACTGCGGACACAGTACAGGTGATGACCAGAGACTGCGGACACAGTACAGGAGATGACCAGAGACTGCGGACACAGTACAGGAGATGACCAGAGACTGCTGACACAGTACAGGAGATGACCAGAGACTGCGGACACAGTACAGGAGATGACCAAGAGACTGCGGACACAGTACAGGAGATGACCAGAGACTGCGGACACAGTACAGGTTTGATGACCAGAGATGCGGACACAGTACAGGAGATGACCAGAGACTGCATTACACAGTACAGGAGATGACCAGAGACTGCGGACATACTAACAGGAGATGACCAGAGACTGCAGACAACTCCTTGTTGAAGTCAGAGGAGAATGGGCAGACTGGTTGGAGATGATAGAAAGGCAACATTAACTCTCATAACCGCTTGTTACAACCAAGGAATACAGAATACCATCTCTGAATGCAGTGCACATCGAACCTTGAAGCAGATGGGCTACAGCAGCAGAAGACCACACCAGGCTGCCACTCCTGTCAGCTAAGAACAGGAAACAGAGGCTACAATTTACACAGGCTCACCCAAATTGGACAAGATTGGAAAAATGTTGCCTGGTCTTCTGAGTCTTGATTTCCCTAGAGATGGCTGTGCACAAAAGAAGATCAGTTTTTGAAATACTCAGACCAGCCTGTCTGGCACAACAACCATGCATGTTCCAGTCACTTAAATCCCCTTTTTTCCCCATTCTGGTGCCCGGTTTGAACTTCAGCAAGTCGTTCTTCACCAATCTAGATGCCTAAAATGCATTCAGTTGCTGTCATGCGATTGGCTGACTAGTAATTGTGTGTTACCAGGCAATTGAACAGTTGTACATAATAAAGTGGCTGGTGAATGTTATATTATCACTGCAAGCTAAAGTAATGTTGACAACAATGAATGCATTAGTTGTAGTTCTCCTGTTGTCCACTAGATGTTCAGACAAGGTTCAGGCATCTTTTTTCTTTCCTTGTGGCAGTAGAGTATTGTATCTGTTAGTCATCAATAAAATACAGATATTCCATTTTTGGATTGGAGTAATGATGAGTCGTAACTCCTGTCAGTAATTTTTTTTTTTGGCTCCATGTGTCCTTTGGAGATTTCCTATCCCATAACCACAAAGAAAGTGAGAGGATAATCCTTCCACATGAGGGTAATCCCTGGTAGTCACCAGAACAAATGTCCCCAAATGGAAGTTTCCCCTCCCCCCAATTCTTGTTCAGGTGATGATTACAAATTCTGGGATTTACTTTTTCTCCCCCACCCCCCCCCCCCCCCCCCCCCCCCCCCCCCCCCCCCCCCCCCCCCCCCCCCCCCCAATATCTGTGATAACACGTCACCAGGATAATGGGAATCTCTTAACCGGCAACAGACAGCAATAAAAGCCTGACAGGTGCTGTAATTCTTTTCCCACTCAATCTTTTTGTGAGGTCCCTCCAGAAACTGAACACCAGTATTCTAAAATGAGGTCTAACTAAAGATCTATACCGCGAGGAATCAGGACTCCTCTTTCCTCCGAAGCTTATGACCTGTATGTGGGTTGCAATTGATCTAGTTAGGTGCTGCCTTGGATGGGTGGGTTAAGAGTTAATGTTGTTCCCTGTTTTGTCTTTTGCCTTGGCGAGTTTCTTTGGATCTGACCTCAATGGTCCAGTGCTATAAAAGAATCCAGAGCGGAGAGCCTGGGGATGAGTAGAACTGATCGTGAACGTCAAGGTGCCTGTCGTTGATATAGGAGGTCAAAGGGACCTGGGGTTCGCCCCGAAGACACAGCCACTGGAGAATGGCCACCGTATGGACCTTTACACATGGACTCTATCCTTTGCAGGTCGGCTGGGGCAGGCACATTATCCTGAGTAAGGAAATTAAAAAAATATTAAAATATTCAAGGATGTTATGGACAAGAACTGTTTTTCATGAATGTATGTTTGGTAGTCTTTACTTTCTTAGAATACTTTGCCTTTTTCTTGGGCCTGGGTCTAAAGTTACTTAACGGCGTGTTAATTACAAGTAACCAAGCACATTTGTAAAGATATGAGTGACTAATGTATCAATGGAGAATGAGAGAGACAGCACTATAGTTACATCCTGGTTGTAATAATAGCAAGTGGTTATCCAATCTTTAAACATAGGTAAAGGGAGTTTACAGTCAGTTAGTGCAGTCTGCCGGTAACGTGGTTACCGGTTACAGGTGGTATGGCCTCTAGCCAGTACCGGAGATATTATTCCAACACACATTTTCGCAGCAGTTTGTCTCCCATAGCAATGGGAGCAGAGTCACACCCGCTGGGGGTCTATATTCCTGTACAGAGGTTAATTGAAGTTCAAGAGTTAAGTCAAGTGCATGGCAGGGACCTTTCTGCTGTGGGTAACAGTAGTAGAAAACGTGGACAAGTGGATGTCTGGGTTCGCATACTCATTCAGAGGCCTCCTAGGGTTGGTGTCACCCAGTGCAGTAAAAACTTGGTGACCCTACTCCGACGATCCCCGCAGAATGGATCAGTCTGCGGTTGAGCTAAAGGGTTGGCTCTGATCCTTAGCTCCCCCAAACGCAGATCTGATCCATCCCGTGGGGATTTCGGTTTTTTTACACTTTCCTTTTCTTGGAGTGCGTCCAGTGTAGCGGAAAATGTGTCTCCCAGTAAACTAGATATGTCCCCCCGAAGAAACTGCGCATGTCCCGGTTTCAGGACAAAAAATCGATGATGAACACTGTATCCGACCTTGTACTTTGGTGAAGTAAAACCCTTCCCTGAATTTTCTTTAGGGAGAAAATTTTCATGGGGGGGACAATCTTACACTTAAAAAGGTCCCCCCGTCCTCCCCCCATGTCAATTTTCCTCCCTGTCACTCCCCCCCCCCCCCGCCATGTCACTGTTTTCCCCCTGTGCTGTTCCCCCCTTTTCATCCCCCCCCCATGAAAATGTCCTCTCTCCCATCCATTATGCCCCAAAAAATTTTAGCGGTGCACCCAAAGGAGTTAATGTGGCAGCTCTGTTTCTACGTTGGTGATCGGCGATTAGCTTTATGTCTGAAACCGGGGATGCGCAGTTGACTAAGATAATAAAGTCTTATAGGGGAATCAGGGGCCTTTTCTCCTGCTGGGATCCCTCTTGTGATACCTAAATATCTATTTAAACAACCAGGACCCCTTCCCTTTGCCTGGACTCCCTTTAGGGATAACTAAATATCTATATATTGGAATAGGACCCCTTTTGTCTTTACGTTTTTCCCTTGTGGAACTAAAAATTTTTTAGAAGAAATCAGGGGCCTTCTTCCTCCTCATGGTGACCCTCTAGTGACAATGAAATTGAATAGAAGGTCAGGACCCCCCCTTCCCCTGTGGTGGTCCCTCTTGTGAAACTAAAGAAATTTATTAGAATATAGGACCTTTTTCCTTGTGGTTATCCCCTGTGATAATAGAGATCTTTATGAGAA